ACTGTAGAAGGCACAGTTCTTGGTAGATTTTGACGAAACGCGTTCAATTTTTAGTTTGTAAACACTCCAGAAGGCATAATTCTTGACAGATTTTGACGAAACTTGGTGTGAGTGTATGTAATCACCCAAGGATGAACCCTATTGAAAATCAGAAAAATCGAAAAATAATTAGTACGATTTATTGCCCTTGTTCTTAAAAACGCGTTCAAGTTTAGGTCTCTAAACACTCCAGAAGGCTTAATTCTTGACAGATTGTGATGAAACTTGGTGTGAATGTTATCACACATGAATGATCCCTATCGAAAATCAGAAAAATCGCACAATATTTAGTATGAGTTACTGCCCTTGTTCTTGAAAACGCGTTCAATTTTTAGCTAGACACAATTCCTGACGGATTTAGATGAAACATTGTATGAGTGTTTGTAATCACCAAGGATGAACCCTATTGAAAATCAGAAAAATATTATTTAGTATCGCCTCAAAAAGTTCAAAAGAAGTGTATGTCTGAAGATTGAATATATCATACTGGTAATTGTTACTGTACTGCCAAATATTTTATTTAAAATCAAAGCTGCCAGTGGCCGTATATTGCCTTGCCTGGCAAGCTATCTTATAGAGTTACTTTTTTTTTTTATTATATATTGTTATTACAATTACGTTGGCTATGAACCCCATAATCTATATATATATACTGCATTTTCAGCAATGTAATTTATTTTTCATTCAATCACGTATTTCATGCAATAAATAGGTTTCGTCTTATCACCAATGATTTATTCAAATTTGGTTATTGAGCTCGAATATTGAATAATATGACATCAGACACTCTCCTTCTGGATGGAGACATTGTTCACCAATTATAAAGGGATACTTTTATCAGCTCACTTAAAGGTAATTTTAATGCCACAAATGTCGATCCAAATCTTTATTATATAAATTGAATACCTACATTGATTGAATCTTACAAGTCATATTTTCAAAGTGTGTTAAACACCTACACATTAAGAACGACATTTATCAAATTGTTTCTCATGGGGCTTCATTATAATATTGAGCAATCATTAGACAAAAATGCCATAATATTATTGCACTAAGTTGATTTTGTAATTCCATCTCCTTCTTTGAAGAAAACACTAGAATGGAGACACTTAAACATTAAAGATACATCTGCATATTCGATGCACATTTAAGGTATAAACGAGGATAGTTCATGTTTAAACCATGGTGACGTCATAACTTAATATTTTTTTTTTCTGGAAATACAGACAGCATCAACCGAGACTGGAAATTTGAATGATGCAAATACAAATTTGAAAAAAAAATATATATAAAATATAGCTTGCCAATCACGGTACACATCAGGTACTATATAACAAAGTTTTTCTTAAAGCATAAAACTTTCTATCTTACACAGCAATCAACAATTGCACCTATTTTCATACAAGTTGATGAAAACCTCTGCTTTAAATATGCAAACATAATAATAATATAGGCCATCAGCCTCGGGCCAACGTTTTGGTTAAAGTTTGATTTATAATGCTCATAGCAATTTTTAGGACAAGTATATAACCCCTCCAACGGGGAATGTGTATAAGTATTGTGGGGGTTGTAACATTTTGGTATTTTCAAAGTAGCGTCGTCCCAAATAAATAGTCAAATCTATGTTCAAATTACAGTACAGGTTGCCTTCTTTTCTTCAAATAACCACCGACTGCCTCTACTTGTTTCACATGAATATTTCAGCCTAAGCCCACAGCTTTTGGAATTGATCGTTGACTTTATTGCGCTTTAAAGTTGTTCATGCAAGTATGGAGCCAGTGACTTTTTATTATCTACTTGCATCGGACATGTGGAAACAGCAAATAATAGAAAATGCCTTGAGACTATAGAAGAGATTTGTTAACGCATTTTACATAGCCTGTACATCATTTCATGAGAGAAGTCTACGATCTGGTCCTTACTTGCACCCTCTTTGCAAGAATGTCGAAGTATGCTTTTGCTTTGTAGCGTAACATGCACAAATGAGTGAAAATGGTGAATGAATTATTTACCTATAGTGTACTATTATTTGCAGGCAACGAAATTAAGAGAGCTATACATCCTCTTAGCTCAGACGTGGATGAATTGACCGATTTTAAGCTTTTTTCAAGAGATTATTTAATCAGAGATTAAATATGTTATTACAATCAATCGGATGATTTTCTTGTATTCAAGTATATAGTTTTACTTAAAAATCAATAAAATATTATCATTAACACCTCATTTCTGACTATGTAACCTCGGGAATTATTAAGATTTTATTTTAAAGCAAGGATGCGATCATCGTGTCCAAACCACATCCCCATTCGTCATACTTCCTCGAGACCGTGGTATTACAGTTGAAAACAAATTACGTATTCATAGATATTGTCTAACCAAAATTGGCCCTACTGTATTGGTAGCAATTTTAGCCATTAAAACAAATCACTCGTTATGACGCTTTGTTTCCGAATGTAAACAAAAAGAAACCAGCGTGTCATTATATATATTGATTAATACGTACGGTACAGAATTGAGTAAGATTTTCGGTAAAGAGTTGAAGCCGAGAGAAAATCAAACCTTACTTTGGAAAGAATGTAGTAAAGCGATGTTGTGTTTTGTTTACATGACCCGATTTCCATCTGATACCGATCTGATTGGTCAGATTCAAATAGCTCCAATATTCCTTTTACGCCCACAAAACGAAATGTAGTGAGCTTAGTTTAATACAGGTTAATAGGACCATGTCAAAACCCGTATTTGTGATACGATGTTAAATGTAAAGACCAAATAAAATCTTTGACATCAAAAGTATCAGACTCATTTGACGTAAAATAAAAAAGTAAGAGTTAAGAAGAAAGAGAATTGATATCAATATCAAAAAGCCCAAAATCTGACAGAATCAGAGGGTGGATTATTCTAGATTGAAAAGGATATCATAGTTCGGTATCTGCCGAATGAATAAACGCTGTCTTTGCACTCATCTCGAGAACATTATCAATCTTGAGTACCCCTCATTCGTCATAGAGACATCAGAGAGGGTTTCAAAGCTTAGGACATAATATTTCAAACATTGATTTGATAAAATCGATTGTAAGAAACATACTAGGTTGTAATGGAAATGAAATGGGATTATGTTTCCGAGTTTATAATCCCGGTATATGACAGAAATAAATCATAAACAATTTGTAGAGAATATACCATTTGTACCAATGGATGTGCTCAACAATTAGAATAATGTTTTAAATCTTTTTGTCATAAAAATAGACTTTCATTATAAAATAAATAATTAGTTTTTGTGAAAACTAACATTTTTCCTTGATTTTTTATCATGGAATATTACTCTGCGATTCCTCATAAATGGCCCGAACCTGTAAACGAGCGTATACAAACAAAGGGTAAAACTAACGATATATTTCCACCTTTGAAGTGAACAATTGGACCCATCGATGAGTTTTTAAGATGTGTTCTCTTTCATTGTAGGGCGACACCGAATAGCCTGCATGTCCGTATCAAAACAAAATAAATGATGATATCAACAGTTTTTACCAATATGATATTATATATACATTCTTACACAGTGAAGATTAAGTTACAATTTGAGCTGTTTCTGATAATAACCATGGTGATCTCGTCTATTGAAAATGCATTAGTTCATTTTAAGCCCATTAATCTACGATTTCGTGCTTGATCATCTGCATACGAAAGAGAGTATTTGTAGATATCTTCTATACACTGGAAGGAATTTGTGTAAAAGTATGAAATGTTTGATAGTGGTAAAATCTCACTCGAGCCACCATAATTATATTACTGAATGTAGGAACAAATATTCTTCACTATCATGATAAAATTTGGAAACCATGTTACTGTTATATATATGTTGACTTTGTAAGGCTCAGCCTTGCAGTATTGTTTATGAAATTAAAATTCTACGAACTATATATAGGGATTGGAAATATTAAAAAACGAAATAATGCAATCAGTAGAACTTTACTACAGATGAATTTCCGCAGACACCCTTCGACGTCCAGCACATAAAGCACGTCTGCAGTGGACTCAGTGTAGGGCTTTGTTCTTAGTGATTTGTTTGGTCAGGCATAAGCATAAATTAATCTGAATGTGTATCGGTTGGTTGGTTGGTAGATGACAAATTAATGTACGCTTCCAGCGGATGTTGATATCGCAAATTAGGTAGTTGATGGTAGTCGTAGTAGTTGGTAGTTAGATTGGTTCAAATCGGATGATTCTGTGTTGTTGGTTTGGTTGTTGATAATTCGTGAAATCTGGTCGGGTCGAATGACATGGCGGTTAAACTCGGCCCTGGGTGTAGTAGTAACATGAGTTACTCGATCTTCTTCATTCTTCTAAACTCGTTCTGATCGTGATGGGTTGTCGAATGGTAGTTGTTGGTTTGGTTAGATTATCTGATAACTGTTATACTAACTAAATGTGTATCATGATGTTAACCTATAAAGCAGTAGCGGGTGTCGCGCGCGAAGAAAACCACGCATACTCTTTTCGAAACACCTGATGGTACTTCTCTTTGGAGGAGTCCACTTCTATATCATTTTCATTCTCGATTTTGTCGAGATTTTGATTAACTCAACATCAGAAATACCCATCTTAGATAACTCAACATCAGAAATACCTATCTTCCATAACTCAACCTCAGAAATACCCATCTTACATAACTCAACATCAGAAATTCATAATATCCTAGATAACTCAACATCAGAAATTCATATCTTACATAACTCAATAGCAGAAATACCTATGTTAGCTAACTCAACATCAGAAATACCCATCTTAGATAACTCGACATCAGGAATACCTATCTTACATAAACTCGACATCAAAAATACTTATCTTTGATAACCCAACATTAGAAATACCTATCTTAGATAACTGGACATCAGGAATACCTATCTTAGATAACTCAACATCGGAAATACCTATCTTAGATAACTCAACATCAGAAATACCTATCTTACATACTCAATATCAGATATACCTTTCGTAAATACCTCAACATTAGAAATACCCATCTTAGATAACTCAACACCATGAATACCCATCTTAGATACCTCAACATCAGAAATATCTATCTTAGATACCTCAGTATCAGAAATCTCTATCTTAGATAACTCAATATCAGGAATAGCTATCTTAGATACCTCAACATCAGAAATATCTATCTTAGATATTTCAATATCAGGGATACCTATCTTACATAACTCAATAGCAGAAATACCTATCTTAGATAACTCGATATCAGGAATACCTATCTTACATAACTCAATATTGGGAATACCTATCTAAGGTTGTCTTTTATTTAAGTGGTGTGATCAACCAAAGTTCGGTTGCCAAATATATCCTGCAAAAAATGAACACCAACGATAGACATGGTAGATTTTTGTTATCCAGAGATTGGTCCTTGTTTTTGATAATTGGAAAAATATAGTAAATTATGGACTCCACTGATCAAGTGACTGGTATTGAGTAAAACTCTGATCTGCAAATATGAGACTACGAATATTAATAGTAATTGAAAATTGTTCTCCTTAAATGTAAATTATCTTGAAAAAGGGAAGGTTCATGTATATCATAAAGAAAGAATGTGTTTAAAAATGATAATTGAAACTAAAACGTTTAATAAGTGACACATGTGGAAGAAGTGAAACAAAATGTTTATGTTTTCCGCTCGGGCTTTGGCTGGTGCTTCGTCATTAAATGTGCAATCAGGGACATGTATTGATAACATCGGAGCGATATTACCCTTCTACTTTCAATAACACGAACTGTGGGCGCATATCACTGAAACCGGCTGTTTTTTTAAAACCCGAAGGTAATATGTACCTATGCTCTGAGATAGCTGATGACTTGATAACTGATGACTAAATTGTTTAAAAAAGTAAGTTTAACATGTCAGAGGTCTTACTGTGATTTTGTGATGTGATAGGGTAGATGAGGTGAGCTTGCAATTGTGGTTTTCTGTGACACAGCTTTTAGAGAGTTGGAAAATTACATGTCGTCATTTGCTTGATTACGTCGAACAAATATTGGCCGTGGGTTCTAATTTTGGCTGACGTGTGAATGTCTAAGATCCTAAGTTGTTAATGGTGTAAAAATGTTTTTTTGTGTCTTTCTTTCATTCGTTTCTAGGAAGCAAGGAGGGGTGCCCACTACGAATATGAATGTAAACTTTGTAAATTTAGCATAAGTATTAGATATTTGATATCAGTTGTATAAAACAATGCTACGAAGTAAGTAAATACAACAACCATATGAGGCACAGTGATATTTCTTGGCAACTCAACTATTGCACCATCACAAGTTCATGATGTTTTTAATGATTATGTCAAAACCAATTTCAATGTAAGCTTTTAAAAATTACATCCAATTAAAATACGAAACATAAAACAGTAAAAATAGAAATGAAGATTACCCGTGTGTTTTCTGATTCATAGCATACATTTCGACAACCTTTAACATCCTTGACACAGTTGGGGATCAGTATAAATGGGAAATGAAACACATTAAAGCTAGCATGTAATTATGATAGTAAACTTGTGAACACACACTTAGATTTTTAATGTACAGCTAAAGGTTGCAGAAGAAAATTTTCATTTTGTTCTGTTTTGCTTTGATTTTACTTTGTTTAAATTACACCAAATGAATTTCTCCAATTCCAATAACTGTTGAAAAGAAAGAAAGTTGAACATTTTACAACTTTTAACGACTTACGACCATTTTCATATCTCTTGGATGATTGTTGACAGTAGCCTTTAACAGCTCGGTGAATCCGCACTCAGGAACTCATCACGTCCTTGTCTTATTCAGTTACAATCAATTTCACATTTAAATACGATCGAAACACTTAACATTATCCAATTAACACGTCGTCAGGCGTTGTAGAAATCGTGTCAGTCCTTCACCTAGGCGAGTAGAACGTGACAACAAGGAGGAATTAATTATTTCGTTTAAACGAAATAACATCATTTTGTTATTT